TGGAGGTCACCATGAGAGAATGGGATGACCAGGAGGTCACAGGGACAATGACCAGGAGACCATGGAGATTGGAGAGCACCATGAGAAGATGGGAACCCACCACAAAGTGATGACTGGAGACCACCCTGAGGACATCGGGACCATCTCAAAGCGATGTGGAACCACCATAAACGTGACTAAGACCACCACAAAGCCACCGGGGACCATCAGGAACCCACCAGGAACCCATCCTGAGCCCACAAAACCTCGCTGACCTCGTGGCCGCCCTCACCTCGATTTTCATGAGCTTGATGAGCTCCCGCTTGGCCTCCTCGAAGATGTCGCTGGTCTGGCGGCCCTGGTAGGGCCCGAAGGGACATGTCCCCGTGGCTGTCCCCGTGGTTGTCCCCGTGGCCGTGTCCTCCTCGCAGGAGCTGTAGTGGTAGATCCCCGAGGGCTGCTCCTCCAGCGTCACCGACTTGCGCTCCTTGGGCTCCTGGGACACCTGGGGGGGATTCGGGTGGGATTTGGGGTGGGAATTTGTGGGGATTTGGGGTGGGATTTAGGATGGCATTTAGGGGGGATCCGGGTGGGATTTGGGGTGGGATTTGGGGTGGGAATTTGTGGGGATTTGGGGTGGGATTCAGGGTGGATTTGGGATGGGATTCAGGGTGGGGATTAGGGGGAATTTGGGTGGGATTTGGGGTGGGGTTTGGGGGAATTTGGGGAGGGATTTGGGGTGGGAATTTGTGGGAATTTGGGGTGGGGTTTGGGGGAATTTGTGGTGGGATTTCAGGTGGGAATTAGGGGGAATTAGGGAGAATTTTGGTGGGATTCAGGGTGGGATTCAGGGTGGTAATTGGTGGGAATTTGGGGTGGGATTCAGGGTGGGAATTAGGGGGAATTTTGGTGGGATTTGGGGTGGGATTCGGGGTGGGATTTGGGGTAGGATTTGAGGTGGGATTTGGGGTGGGATTCAGGGTGGGATTTGGTGGGAATTAGTGGGAATTTGGGGTGGGATTCAGGGTGGGAATTAGGAAGAATTTTGGTGGGATTCAGGGTGGGAATTAGTGGGATTTGGGGTAGGATTTGAGGTGGGATTTGGGGTGGGATTCAGGGTGGGAATTTGGGGTGGGATTCAGGGTGGGAATTAGGGAGAATTTTGGTGGGATTCGGGGTGGGATTCGGGGTGGGAATTTGGGTGGGATTCGGGGTGGGATTCAGCACGGAGCCCCCCCGTACCTGCCCGAAGGCGCCGCTGCTGTCCTCCTGCAGCGACACCGAGATGCGCCCGCGCTCGTAGGCCATGTCGAAATCGGAGCGCGGACCCTTCTGGATGCCTGGGCGGGGTCACGGGGTGTCACCAAACGGGGACAAAGCCACCCTTGGGTGACAGCCACACAGCGGCAGGGCTGGCACCCACCAGAGATGTCCACGGGCATGGAGATGCAGCGGCTCAGCAGCGGCGGCGGCGCCGGCGCCTCCAGGCCGGTGGCTTTCATCAGCTCGGCTGCGGGACGAGACCCCCCCCAGAACCCCAAAAACTGAGCACGGAGACCCCAGAAATGCTCAGGGCGAGGGTCTCGGGACCTTCCCGGTGCCTCACCGGCGTCCCGGCCCTCGTCGGCGCTGCCCAGGCCGCGCTTGCCGTGCCGGACGGGGCTGGTGCGGGCGGCGTGGCCGGGCTGCGGGAAGAGCCGCAGGGGCTGCATGTCCTGGAGGGTTGGGGACATCAGAGGGACATCAGAGGGGCTGGGGGGACATCAAATCCAGCCCCCAGGAACCCCCCCAAACTTCATGCTGAACTCACGTGGCTGAAGAGCTCGTTGGTCAAGCCCAGGTAGTTGTGCAAGGCCAGGAAGGTGACGCGCTGCAGCCGCACCATGATGATCTGGGGTGGGGGACACGAGGCCACCGTGGGACCGCTGCCACC